TGGGATCTCAACTTGCACATCTCTAAAGTAAAGCAGTTAGATCTGCAACATCTGTCATGACTTTGTTGCCTGTGCCAGCTTTTCCCAATGTGGTGTTCCTCACTGGTGTATGGACTACAAAAGTGAATGGTTAAGATGCTGGGCTAGAAACTGGGGGGTTCGAGTTCTAGTTCTCTGTTATGCATGAAAGTCAGCTGGGTGATGTTGGGCCAAGTCACTCTCTCTCAGCCCAGTCTGCCTTATGGAGTTGTTGTTATGGGGAAAATTAGGAGGTAGGGGTATTAGGTATGTACATTGCCAAGAATTGGTGGGATAAAAATCTAATGATAAATAAATATTGATGGGGATTTATGATAGTTATGGTTCAGTATGCCTGGAGGGCACCAGACTAGGAAGTTTGGTCTATATCTCTGACACTAAGGTGGATCCAAAGAGAACAGGACAGGTGGTAGAGACAGATCCCACATGACCTTCTTGTTCTCGCTTCAGCTGCACATTGTACATACCAAAAACAACATGAACATGTCGGATGCTGTGAAGGATCCAAAAGGCATCGCGGTGCTGGCATTTTTTGTCGAGGTGAGCAGCCAATCTAGACCAGATACACTGACCAAATATGCCAATTTATAAAAAGAGGTAAGGTGGGGAAGATAGGTACACAAATGTGCAGATCAGCTGAAAGCATGGAGGAAAAGGCATTTTTCCAATAGAAAAATATATATTTTTAAAATGCGCTGGACAAAGTGTGTCTAAAAATTCATCCCATCAGAGAAAGGGGTGTGCAAACGTTTGTATTTTTTCCAATTGACTCATTGATTTTAACTGATGGATGCATACGGCTGAAGAAGAAAGTAAGAGAAAATGAAAGAAAGAAGCAATTAATCCTCTTCTAAGCTAAGTTTTGATTCCATGCTTCTTTTTCTGCCCCCACCCCCAGCCCCCATTTGTCTGTAATGTGGATGAAAGAGGGAAAAGAAAGAAAGAAAGGAAACCGATGTCCTTTACAAACTATGGATCATTTTCCCAATCGATGTGAAAGATCAAGTCGTGGGTGGGTGTTGTATTTTTTCCAGCATTTCAATTACAATAGGTTGCACTTAAGGCTATTAGATTTGGGTTGCAAAACTAGAGACTACAGCTAGGTGGCAGCAAACAGATACCAAAAAGGAGCTTTGCCACCCAGCTCTCCCAGTATTTTTTCACTGTAAGTTTCATATACAGTAGTATGCTATCAGCAACACCAATCAGGAATGCCTCCCCATGTTTCTGGTTTTGAATCTAACCCTGCAGAAGAGGTGAAAAACTGGAAATATAGCTGGCTAGGGGAAGAGAATATTCAATGTCCACCTTTGTTTCATCCCCAAATTCTTCTGTGTTCCCTCCTACTCTTTCCTCCTTTTTGCAGGGATCTGAGAAGGCTCAGAGCAAAACTGCAGATGCGTGGGAATCATTTGCAAAGAATCTCAAGAAAGTTTCCAAAAAAGGTAAATTGGTCAGAGATATTTGGATTTGTGGAGTCCTTGGGGTTCTCTGAGGCTCTCTATTTGGATCTTCTTGCATCTCTAAGACAGCGGCTTCCATAATGAACTGGAAAATGGATGCTTCCGCTTTGCCACAAGCATCGTCCAGTGGGGTGATTGTTCCAACCATTTCCCCGTCCTGTCCCACAGCGCCTTTCTAACGACTCATTAATCTTAAAAAAAAAAAAATTCAAAGTCCCAGACATTGGAAAACACTTTGTTTACCTATTTGCTTCTTTAGTACAATTGTTATTTCTGTCCTGACTTTCCTCTAGGGAGGTCAGTGCTGGGCACGATTCTACCTATCTCCTCTCCCCTCCATGTTATCCTCGTCGTTATCCTCGTTGCAGCCTTGTGAGGAAGGATGGGCTAAAAGCTAGTGATTGGTACCTAAAAGCATAAGCAGCCCCACTGGATCGTACCCCTGGCCCATCTAGCCCAGCAGTCTGTTCTCCCAGGGGCCAACCAATTGCACAAGGTCTCCCAGCAGATGGCCATCAGAGGCAGCCCCACTGCCCTCAAGGCTTAAGAGCCATTGCTCCCCAGGACTTCCACAAACTGATCCAACCTTTTTTTTGAAGCCTCTGAGGAATCGAGGCAGAAAGTGCCTTTGAAGAGACTGTGTGGGAAGTTGGTGGCTAGAGAGAGACATTGGTGTGAGTGTGCTGGAGTGTGCAAAGGCTCCCAACCAGTTTGGTGGGATTTCAGTCCACGTCTCTTCGGTCTTAATCTGACGCCCCACAATTACTGCATTAAGGATCTGCATCTCTTTCAGGCTAGGGGTGCCAACACAGGTGTGGTTCTATACATGGGAGGGCATAATGTGCCCCTCCTCCCAAAATCTTGCAGTTTTGGTGTGGGTGCCTGAATTTGCCCCCCCCCCCAATTCAGACACTCACACCAACATTGCAAGATTTCATGAGGTGTTTGCTGTTGTTTGTTTTGTAAGATCTTGTGAATTTCAAGTTTATCGCATGAGATCCTAAACATTTTTTTTTTTTAATCAAAGTGATATTTTAATGTTACTTGAATTCGGGTGGCAGTAGGGACCGTCTTCCTCACGGCAACTGTACTATCGGTTCTCAGTTCTAGCTGGCTTTCAATTTTTCCTTCGTATTCACTGTGAAAACAGGCTCGAAACTGATTTTAGTTGGGCATGTAAGACGTAACTACGTTTCCTCCTGTCCCTGAACAGGGGAAGACGAGGATCTTGACAGCTCAGTTTCTCTGCTGGACTTGATGGGTTCCACGGACCTGGCCCGCTATTACCGCTACCCTGGATCCCTCACCACCCCTGGCTGTGATGAGGCTGTCGTATGGACCATCTTTGCTGAACCCATCCAGGTGCCGCCCAAAGTGGTAAGACCGCAGCTGGGAGGCCAGCAGGAAAGTCCGTAAAAGGACTTAGCTCAGCTAAAGAGAAAGTATGTCCAGTTGTGGGCACCATCTTGACTTTTTTGACCCCTTCCTCCCTGAGGACACCCCTAAGAGTGTTTCTCCCCTATGGATTCCTCTCAGAAAGGAGATTTGAGTCTTTGCCCACTGCTCAGCTGAAGTGCTTTCCTGATGCAGCCGAAAGCGATTCTGTCATGAAATTGGTCCTCCCGGTTGCCGATCCTTTTCCTCACACTTTTTTGCTCTGTTTTAAGTCACTGCACGCCTGACTTTTCTCTGACTTACTTTACAAAGTTTACATGCCTTATATGGTGCCAGAATACAGTGGGAAATTCTATTTCGACATGGGGGCAACTAAGGATGACTTAAGTCCATCTTGCTCACGGGCTAAGGATGAAGTAAAAGCAACATGGCTTTATGAACAGTAAAAGGATGTTGCCAAAGCAGGTCTATGCTGTGGTTAGGTGCAAGTGGGGGGAAGCAATGTTTGTCATTGAAATTGGGCTTTGCTAGAAATAGGGCTGTAAGCTGTGACTCCTTTTTGGTTTAATTCTTCCTCTTCTGCTCAAGCAAGGAATTATTTATTTATCGTATTTACATAGCCGCCCAGAGTCACGTTGTGTGAGATGGGTGGCAATATAAATACGATAAATAAATAAAATAAATCATAGTAGGCCTTCTGCTCCATTCGCTCTTTTAAAAGAGCAGCCAGCAGTTTTTTTGCCTGGTTCTTGGAAGATAGACTTCAAAACATCCCTTCCTGTCCATCTGTCTGGTAGTCTTTTCTTTTTTTGTTACAAATTAATTCTTATTCTGCTCAGTCTTGGGAATCTCTGTTGGACAGTTGAAGACCGAGGTTCTTAAATAACCAAGGATGCACATGAAGAGGATATTGTAACATTTTGTTGTGCTGGCAAGTTATGTAATTGTCTTGTTGACTTGCCCTGATTGCATTTTAGTGATTGGAAGCCCTGTGGCCTAATCTAAAAATCCCTTCCCTTGCCATCACCTCCACTTCTCTTTCTTTCAATAGGTCAAAAAATTTTCTTCGGAGCTGTCTTCTACGGATTCTTCCAAGGGACCCCAGCTAAAAAACAACTTCCGTCCTGTGCAGAAGACTGGGGATCGGAAAGTGGAGGCATCTGATGCTTTGAAAGATCACCTGTCTTCAGCTGCCTTTCTTGTTTCTCCTCCAGTTGTATTTATCCTCTTCCTTTCTATCACCACCTTTGTACCATTCTTATCGGTATAAGTGAGGATGGTAGAAGAGAACCACCTGGACTTGCAGTTCCTGAGAGGTCATAGCTAAGGCTACAACCTTCCTGGCCTCCACAAGCTCCATTTTACTTCCTTCTAACCCTCAACCAGCTTATTCAGGGGCAGAAGCTCAGGAAAACAAAGTCAAAAGGTTGGAAGGTGCATAACCCACCAAGGACAAGAAAACAGAGAAAGCAAATGGAAGCTAATATTGCTTGACCCAGTTGCTGGGGTGCGGCGCTGCTTGCCACGGTAAGGCCAAAGCTGAAATGAAAACTCTCCATTCAGAACTAAGTATTATGACATCTAAACCTGTAGATCATCATTTTCAAAAGATGATGTTAGAGTTTCTAAGATCAGAGAGATAAAATAGATGGTAGACAGATGATTAGAGAGAGGGAGGAGGGGGAGGAGGAGGA